GAATTGTAATCATTGCAATGAAACAAAATATGACAGGATGAGTGTAAAGCTGATGTTCTCTCATGTAAAGTATCACATAATTCACAAGAAAAACTTTAAAAGAAAAAAAAGTTCTGAATGCCTAGAACTTAAGCCAAGGTGTTCCCTGCCTGAGTTTAATGCTGTCCCCTACCAAGGACTAAGCCAATAAGTTACCAAAGCCTCCATTTGGAATGGAAACTGACTGAGGAAGGAATATTTTTTATTGGAAAGTACACATAAGCGGATTATTCTGTTTTAGAGGTGCTAATTCTTAAAAATGACAAGAAGACCTTTTCTTTTCCAGTAAGTCATAAATACCAGCGTGTCCATTCAAGCTTCTGGCTGAGCTATATGGGGGAGGCAAAGGAGGGCAGTGATATGAGAGAGTGGGAAAGACAAGAGCCCATGATCTTGGGGTGCAAATGTCTTGGAGTCTCTCTATGGTAAGAACTTTGAACTCTTAAGCCACTAGTGGCAGGGTTCAATCACTAACAGCACAAGTTTCATTGAACTAATAATTTGAGGGTTGAAAGATTTTTAAAGCCTTAGTCTCAGGAGAAAAGTAAAATTTCACATTGGAGTAAGGGTTCACTTAGGAAAAAAAAAAAAAAAAAAAAAAACACAATCATGGTTTGTTTTTTTTTTCATTCTAAGAATTAACTGATACCCAAAATGCTTTGTTTTGAATCATGAGAGCCATCAGTTCTTGACATCATCTAAACTGCATCTAGAGCTATATTGCAAAATCTTTTTAGGCATGTGTTAGGTTTCTGTGAAAACATTGTTTATGTAAATTTCATACTACCCTGTCAGTTTTGTCTTAATAAAACTATGGATTAAAAAAAAAAAAGCTAAAATGAATAGAGAGAAGTACTGTGAATTAATGGTATATGGAGGGGATTATAATCATTGCAATGAAACAAAGTATATGATTTGTTGAATGTAAAACTGATGATCTGCCATGTAAACTTTCACTCAATTCACACAAAAACTTTAAAACAATAAAAAATAAGCACGGTAAGAAAGAATGTGATGCATTTATGTAATAGCTCAGAATAGAGAGTGTCTAGATGGAGGAAAACAAACAACCAAACACCAAACAAACCGACTGCCACCAAGTCATTCAAATTCATAGCAACAAAGCAGAACTGCTTCCGAGGGTTTCCAAGGTCATAAATCTTTGGCTGGTGGGTTTGAACTGCTGATCTTGAGGTTAGCAGTCCAATGCTTAACCCATTACACCACCAGGATTCCAGAACACAAACATTGGGGGGCAGGGAATACAAAATATGTAGATGCAGAGGTGGGTTAAGCTGGACCTTAAAGGAGAGGTGATGCCCTGCCAAGCTCCCTGGTGCAGTTTGTTTGTCTACTAACTGCAAGTTCGAACCCACCAGTGGACAGTCCCCTTGGACAGCCACCAGTCCAGGAGACAACTAGTCACTGCTGCCCTTGGAAGAAAGGTTGACAGCTCACACAGTGGGCTCAGGGAGTAGGGAAAGTCAAAGGCATCCTGATGGGGTCGTGGGGCAAGTCGAGGCCCCACTCTGGACCTTGACCTTCCATTAATACAAGGACTTGGACTGTGAACATCCTCTAAGTTCCCTTCCAGCAACTTGATCCCAACATCCATTCCAGAGCAGCAACATTCTAGAGACAGTGTCCAAATCACTGGATTCAAGTCCAAGCATCACCAAGTATATGCACGTTGTAACCCCAGACAAGTCATTTAAGCTTTAAACACCTCAATTTCCTCATCTGTAAGCAGGAGGAGGTGAAACACCTCTGGACAGGAGGCTCGTGGGAATAGATGGCAGTGCTTCCAGGATTCAACTTTATGCAGACACAAGATTAGTAGGAACCCAAGGCATTGATGACTCAGTGGTGGAAATCTCACTTTCCATGCAGAAGCCTGGGTTTGATACTGACCAGTGCACATCCAGCATAGCTACTATTCATGTGACACTGGAAGCTAGTGTGTTACTATGGTGCTAAATAGCTTTTCAGTGGAGCTTCCAAAATAAGGCAGAGTAGGAAGAAATGCCTGGCAATCTACTTCCAAAAAATCAGTCCATGAAAATCCTAGAGATCACAATGATCAGATCCACAATTGATTATGGGGATGATGCAGGACCCAACAGCATTTCGTTCCATTGAGTATGAAGTTGCTAAGAGTTGGGGGTCAACTCCAGAGCAGCTAACAACAATTGTAGTTTGGACCCTCTGCCAGAGCTTTGATAGGCCCCATCTAAACAGAGTCCCCTGGGAAGGGAAGACAAAAGAAAAGGCTGAAAGGTAGGAGACCTTAAGAACACAGCATTTCACTTACCCAGCATCTGACATCTTGGAACTTGCAACAAAATAAACACATTCTTTCTTCTTGATGTTTTCAGGAATCCATGAACTGAGATTTTCTTGCTGAGGGTAAAAGAGAACTCTGAGACCTCATGCAATGACACCATTCATGTTCAAAGGCTCAAATCCTGACTTTCTTATCACTGGCCTCCTGACAAGCATGAACAAGGTTTTTTGTTTGGAGTAGTGAGACCTCAGTAACTTATGACCACACCAAAGAGTAAACTCATCCTTACCCAAAAAGACTTTCTTTGAGGTGTGGAATCAAGAGGGAAGAACAATAATTATGAAATTATTTTCCCTTGTGCCCAATTTGAATTTGCATGGCGGTTTCGGTTTATAAGTCAATGCCATATTCCGCAGCAATAGCATAGTGGCCAAGGGATTTGAGATACCTGCCTTACCTACTTTCAGGCAGAAGTTTCCACAGCAGTGAAATGAAGGGTATGACACCCTCCTAGGTTAAAGTACTCAACTGCTAACTGCATCTACTCAGAGGTGCCTCCGAAGAAGGACCTGGCAATCTAATTCCAAAAGATCGGCCATTGAAAACTCTATGGAGCACAGTTCTACTTTGACATATAAAGAGTCACCATGAGTTGCCATCAATTTAAGGGCAACTGGTTTGGTTTGGGGTTGTTTTTTTTTTTGGCGGGGGGGGGGGAAGGGGGAACTTGCCTACCTCACCAGTAGGAGCTCTAGTAGTACAGTGGTTATGAGTCGGGCTGCTAATCTCAGGGTCAGCAGTTCGAACCTACTAGCGAAAAGATGAAGCTTTCTGCTCTCGTAAAGAGTTACAGCCTCAGAAGCTCTATACAGGGTAGCTATGAACAGGAACCAACTCCACGACATACAACCACCACCACCCACCACCCCACCAATGGGCTGTGAGGTCTGAATGTGCTCATCTGATCCATTTTTATGAAGGGCTTTTGTGTGACCAGCCCAAGACTTCAGTTTCTTCAGTTTCTAAGCACTGTCCCAATCAAAACAAGGATGTGAAATTGTCAAGCAAGCTAGTAAGGGGGGTGATGGCCTCCTGTGGCGAGCTCTTTCCCAATCAGACAGAGGATGTGAGGGGATGGGGTAACCCACACAAGGGGACAGATCTAGCTGTTCAGTATTTTCTCCATTACCCTGCTCCTGAAGGGCATTTCTGAACTGGAGCCTCTGGGTCTGTGGAGTCTGCCCAGGTGTGACACCTGCCCCCCACCCCAGGTGGTCACTGGTTGTTCATACAAGTTTCTGGCAGATCTTGACCCCTTTGTTGCTCCTACATCTGTGCAGGCCAACCTCAATGGGCACAGGCGGGCAGCAGGGAACCTACCTTTTCACTGCTGCCAAAAGCAGCCTGCAGCCTCCTGGTCTTGAGTAGGCTGCTGTTGCTACCCTGGAGGTTGGGGCCCAGCCCCAGGTCAGCGTTCCTCCTGTGGTGCACCCCAAAACCTTCCTCCTGCACAGAACCCAGCTTCCTCGAGCTCAAGACCTCCATTCTGACTGCCCCGGCTCCAGCCTGGCCGCTGCCTCCACCGTCAGAACAGTCTTTTCACCAGCTTGCTGAGCACAAGGTTGCAGAAACACCACATGGTAGGGTTGCTGGAATAGATTGGCAGGCAGGGGGTGGGGGAAAGATGAGGAAAGTATCCTTGGCTGTGGCCCTTCTCTCCTCCCACTTTTGCTTGCTCTTCCTGGTGAGGAGTAAGAAGAGAGAAAGGGGGTGGTCCCCGGGTTACCTGGACCCAACCATCAATGTTGAGCTGCCCAGGGAGGCACCGGTAAGGCAGGTGAGGCCTGCCAAGTGCTGGGCATCCCAGCACAAGGTGTAGGGAAGAGTAAGTGGCAGCTGTGAATGGTTCATCACAAGAAAGCCCAGCACAGCATCAGGCCCTGCACCTTCAATGCCCAGTCATCACCACACCAAACCCACAGGTACTCAGTGCTATGGGGAGTGAGGATGTGGGGAGCCAGACCTGGCTGTAGAGCAACTTGCTCTGACATGGTGGAGTACCCTGATCTCAAGTCTCCATACCTGAGCCCAGAAGACCAGATGCACGAGAGGTCCTGGAGCCAACAAGACTCATGAGAGGACACAAATCCATCTAGTATCACCCTGGCCAGGGCTTCCCACCACTCAGCACTATGATAACAGTCCTGCTGGGCAGTGAAGTTTCTGCCACATCCAACCTAATATTACTGTCACCTCCTCCAACGCAAAGCTGTGCCCTCCTCTGACCCATGCTGAACTGTGGTTTGGAGATCCACTGGAGAAAGGGTTCCCGCTCAGTCCCCTCCCCCTTTTCCAGTCACTGCCAGCCCCTCCAGAGTGGAAGGAGGGACAAAGTCTCACCTCCCAGTACTGTGGCAGTGCACCCTACATGTGGCACCTTTACCATTCTCTGCTGGCTGGTGCTTGGGTGGGCTCTCCAGGATCTGCAGGACCTTGAAGGAGCTCTCCAGCTGACTTCATGTGACCACCTGCCCTTCCTAACCCTGGTCCTAGGTGGTCATGTCACTCCAGCAGAGACAACCTCATAAGTGGGAGAGGCACCTATAAAGATGTACAACTAATCCCTTCTATCCTGCTCACTGCCTTTCCTGGCCCCGCCTCCGCAATCTCACAGCTGGTTCAGCCTCTGAACTCTCTGGTCCAGAAGTAGGTCCTCACAGTGCCAAACACCAAAGGGAGAGAACAGCTGACCCATAGACTCCAGTCTCTCTGAGGATTCTCTCATGACTCTCCCCTGAGTGATAGCCCTAGGTGCTGTAAGAGGGCCCTGAATAGTGCAAGATGAATCTTCCCTGCAAAGGACTCTGGGAGAGAACCAGAGTACCTAAATGGACAGTGATCTGGGTCAGGGAAAGCACACAAAACATCTGACTTACAACTACTCCTTAGGGTTTCTTTATAGGAGAAGACAGCCTCATCTTCCTCTCCTATTATAGATTGTTTTTGTTGTTAAGTACTGTGGAGTCTGTTCCAACTCATAATATCAACCCTGTTTCCGAGGAGTGACTGGTGGGTTTAAACCACCGACCTTTCAGTTAGCAATCCAATATTTATTTTACAGTGCCACACCAGGACTCCAATCCTAGACTGCTGTTGTTGCTGTTATTGTTAAGTGTTGTCATGTCAGTTCTGACTTACATGGTTTCAGAGGAGCAACTGGTGAGTTTGAATCGCAGTCAACCTTGTGGTTCAAGCTGACCTTGCAGTCCAATGCTTTATCCCACAGCACCACACTGGAAGTTTGGTGAATAGATTAGACATGTTTTTCCCTGAGTCCCTTGTACATATCCTTGCACCTCAGCACTAATACATAACCCCCTGGCTTGTACTGCCACATGTGGACCTCTATCTGGATGACAATCGAAGTGATGCTTCGCAGTCTGTTGTGAGAATCTTGGCACTAGTTCTATGTGTAAGTTCTCTAATAAGGCCTTGCCTGACCTAACTGGCCTTTTTGCCTCTTGTTTTCAGAATCAGAGCTATGTTCCTTGAAGCCACTCCTGCCACTGGTCTGGTGAGTCAAAACAGTGCTAGGAAGTGATCACTGTAGGATACCAGACCAGGTCACTGTCCTGGAGAAATATAGCATCCCCAGTAAGACAGTCCTCTTTTGAAATCCACACCCCATGCCCACAGTGCACAGAGGCCTTGTCTCGGGGAGCCTCTGTCCTCCTCGGTCTCAACTTTCATTGCTGTAGCTTGGTCTAGCCAGGCTTCTCCTGGGGGTCCCAACATCCACCCACAAGGATGACAACCTCAGGCCACTGTAAGGGGCCAGAAGAATTCTCCACATGAGAATCCACAGATCTAAAGCCACAGCTATAGAGGGTTAGAAAGAGCTCAAGGGTCCCTTCAGCATCCACTCAGCAGCATGTCATAAAGCCCCCAGTCTAGACTGGAAAGACAAATCACATCATCTGCTGCCAGTGTTCAAGTAACAGCTCCCGTCTTCATTTCTCTAAACAATGGTTCACTTCTGCTAGTTCACAGAAAGAAAAAACAGTGATTCCACTGCCCACAAAGTAGACTGCTGGGAGCATTATAGCACTCGCTACTGAAGACAGACGAGGCCACTAAATGGAGCAGATCTTGTTTTCTCAAATACTTTTCTCCTGGCTCTGATGCGGTTTTCTTCACTGAGGCCACGGTAAAGAGGCTGAATTTGAAAAAGGGCTTGATTTTTCTCATTTCACAAATGGAAAAAACAAGCCTCAATCAGCTCCACACACCCTTCCTGGAGTCCCATAACACCCACGCTTGTATCCCTGGAGCTGTTCTAAGGGGAGTGTGATGAGCTGAATTGTGTTCTCCAAAAAGTTATGTGCAAATCTTAATCCCCATGTGAGCATGACCTTGTCTGGAAATAAGGTGTTTCCAAATGTAATTAGTTAAGTTCACATGAGGTGATACTGGAGTAGGGTGGGCCCTAATTCTGGAACTGGTGGCCTTATTAAAGAGAAGAGACACCGGGGATGAGGAGAGACAGAAGGACACCATGTGAAAACAATGGGAAAGACTGGAGTTTTTCAGGCACACGTCAAGGAATACCAGGGACCACTAGAAGCTGGGAGAGAAAAGGAAGGATCTTCCCATTGGACCTTCGGAGAGAGCATGACACTCTGAATTCGGATGTCAGCCTGTGAGACAATAGATATATAGGTTGTGTCTTACGCCTCCCATTGATGGCATTTTGCTATGGCAGCTCCAGCAAACTCATAGAGTCTGTAAAGTGGGAAGGTGTTTGTATGGGGGTGGGAATCAATCCAAAAGTCTCATCTCCCCTGATCCCTAACCCCTTTCTTTGGCCCCATATGGACAGGCTTTGTCTTTGCCCACTCAGCCTTCTTCAATACACGGTCATGTATGCCAATACCAATCTCTTTGAGTGGGTGTAGGATAGCAGGTAGGTAGGGGCTGAGACATACATGGCCCTACCCTTACCTTGCTTACCTGAACAGGCCTATCACAGCCACTTAGTTCAGGACTGGCCCATCAAAATTTACAGCTTAGGCAAAGCGCCACCCGCCTCCCCAATGCCTCACTGCTCAGCATTACCCCTCCAGCCATGCTCATGCCCAGGCTGCCCAACGCTGCTCAGAGCAGGCATCTGAGGTCCCTCATATGAAGGAAGGCACCAGTGATCAGTTCTGATCTTTGTCCACTGCTGACACCAGAGATAGGGCCTTTATAGAACCATGAACTTCCAGACAGCAGTTCACCTGGCTTCACAGCAGAGATACTACTGACCACTCAATCAGGAACCAACCTCTGCATAGGACCAGGACCAAAACAGAATGATGAGTCTCAAGAACCTCACCATAAGCAACTGTGAAGGGCTCTCTTCCACTTTGCATATTTTAAGGATAGGTGCTCCTCTCAACACACCCCTTATGGGTGCAAGTGGCTGTTCTCAAATCCCAGCTGCAAAAAGACTCCTGGGGAACATGTTGAGAACCACTCTGCCCACACAACCCCACTGAACCAGAAACTGTAGGATGGGGCCAGAAGCTAGGTGATCAACACTGCAATGCTCACTGCTTGAGAAATGCTGACTCAACCCTTCCTCTCTTCTCCCTTTCCTGTTGCTTCCCCTCCCCAACAGGAGTGGGTGCCTCTGGGAGGGCTCTGAAACCCAGGCTGACGAAGATCTACCAAGGCTTCTGTTCAGCCTTCTCTGGGGTTCTTCTCATAGTCATTTACTTTCTTTACATATTATCTGAAAGCAATTTTGGCCATTCAAATTTATAGCTAAAATTCTCAATGGCATAGGGAGGGGTATGTGTTGAAAACATTCTTGAAGTTTACTTCAAAGAAGATAGATATACTGACCATAGATAGATAGATGATAGATAGATAGATAGATAGATAGATAGATAGATAGATAGATGATAGATAGATGATAGATAGATAGATAGATAGATGTTATTATTTGCCATCGAGTTGGTTCCGACCCATAGCGACCCTGTATAGGGTTTCCAAGGAGCAGATGGAGAGCTTGAACTACTGACCTTGCAGTTCAAATGACTTTGCAGTCCAGCGCATTAACCCACAGTGCCACACCAGGACTATAGATAGGTAGGTAGATAGGTAGGTAGGTAGATAGATAGGTAGATAGATAGATAGATAGATAGATAGATAGATAGATAGATAGATATTGATAGATAGACAGATAAAAGGAAACCCCTAACTTGGATACCATACAAAATATATGTCCAGAGAACTGGAAGTTTCTATGAAAGACTCTGGTGCAGACTCTGAATAGGGGAACAAGTCTAACCTGAGGGAATGTCCACATCTAAATTCTGTGCTGAGGAATCCGGGAGAGGAGAGGGGATGCTTTTGGGTCCATCCAAGGGAACCCAGGTGAGGGAAGGACGTTTCCACACCCAGATTTAGAGTCTATGCACGACCTCAGATGTGTTCCCTCTGTTTCCCAACTCCCAGAGTCCCTTTCTTCAGGAAAGGCAGGTGGAAAGACTGCACCT